AGAGACCTGCCTACTTGAAAGTAATGTGTCCAAAATTTATTTGAACAAAATTTGAAAGAAATTAAATTCAGGGGCATTTTAATTGTTGCCAGAGAGCTATTTTTTTTCCTGATGACGTTGAGAAATACAATTTCTTGTAGTGAAGATCACGGAGATCTCTTAACAGCAACAGATAAAGAAATGAGGTGCTGGTGTGACCGTTGTTTCATTAATGAATTCAGATTAAAGGTGGTTTACATCATTTGATTAAAACTGAATGAGAGAGAACTGAAAATTTCTTTGGTTTGCTGACAAATCATTTGGAAAAATAAAAAGTACAAGCTACTTATTCAGAATATTTTTTCAGATCTGTAGCTATCTATAAGGTAGTATAAAGCTGATTCATCAGAAACATAACCATTTTAAATTACCTGCAAAATGAAGTTATGACATCAAACATGAGAAGACTCAAAACCTGTGCTTATAATTATTGTGGATATTCCTTTCTTTGATATAGCTGGGAAGATGTGTTCTTCAATAACCTCTCCTAAGAGCATCTGCAAATATCAAACTGAAACAGAAACGTTGACTGAGCTCTCGTGAGGTCAACTTTGACCTGAGCAATGAGGACTATAACACTGCTCCTTGTTGAATACAGGATTGAAAATACTTTGAAAAATTTATTGAAAATTCCCTTTACCTTTTGTTTATATCTTTCTACATCTTTTTTGTATTAAAACAGAAAAAAATAAGAAGGAAAAGGGGTACATGAATTTTTATGATCATATGAAATACTTCACTTTTGTCTAATCCTCAGTTTATTTGTAGAATTAAATTTTGATGGAGATCATAAAGTTTTTGTTATGGCCCTATTTCTTTCCCCTCTTTTTTGTCTTTCTGTGTTTCTAGTTGTGGAAAGGAAAAGACAATCTGGAGATTCTCATGAAATTACTGCACTGTTTCACAAACCAAAAGGATCAAATTAAGATCAGATGTGGAAAGGAGTAGCAATAAGGATGTGAATGGGGATGCAGTCTCCTACACCTGGTGTGAATTTTGTCGCACTCTACTTATTCAGATATATGACCAAAATGATTTCACTGTGAAGAACTCAAAAAAAGAATAGAAATTTGTTCAAGAGGGATTACCATTATTTTAACTTTGTATTATTACAAAGCTAGCCAGAGGTAGGACCTCAGGTAACACACTAATATGCATTGTATGACAAAAATATACGGAGATGACCAAGCCATCATTAACAGTAATTTTAAATAAAAAAGATCTTCAAATGAACATTTATGTTTATCATTTTTTATCATTCATTTCTCTAGTGTATGTAAGTTCTAGTTCTAGACCACCTCTGATAGAGTCAATACAAGTAGAAATAAATAAAGAAAATTTAAAAAACGTAAAATCCTAGTTTCAGCTCCCAGAGCTGACTGGGCTTCAATTAGAAAACCTTATAGAATTCTTCTAAAAATCTTTGAAAAGAAAACAGAGAAAAAGTAAAAGGAAGCAATCTTTGTGACTTAGCTCAATAATCTACTGATCTGCTTTATGCCTGTTTTCCTGCTTTCATGACTTTATAATGGTTGTAACAATTTTTCAAACTGAGCCTTATTATACCTGCTGTTAATAGCAATTTCCCGTAGTTACCTTTTATTTGCCAAGCCTTTTTACACTACAAATGTTGTGCCTGTGAAAATAGACCTGAACAAAGCCTAATAAAATGATTGAAACTGCTGATGAATTAGAATACCTGCTGATCAGCAGAAAACCTGTTTATTTGTTATCAATCCAGACTCTTTACAGTCAAATCTGATTAGTTTAAACTACTTTAAATTAAGGATGGATATTCCATTTGAAAGACGAGATTTCCCTTTGGATGGCAAAACAGAAACAGTGTTTCATTTTGCCAAGATATACTATTCAAAGCTGGACTGTAAGGTGACACGATATACTATCCAAAGCTGGACTGTAAGGTGACAGTGGCTTTTGTTTCAAACTAGCAAATGCCAAATCCAATTCTCTTCTCTTTTTAACAAAACAAACTGCCCACTTCACAGTAGAGATCATTCCAGTATAGTTGCTCTGTGTGTCTTTATCCTGCTTCACATTTGTGAACTTAAAGTCAATCAGAAGCTCTGATGTACCCACAATGTTCTGTGAGTATTGCAAATTGGTGATGAAATTTGCTGAACAAGTTTCTTCAGTTGGCAGCTTTGTAATTACTACCTACCAAGGTCTGGGACATGAATGGGAATTACTTTTTGAAAAGACTTTTAGTCCAAACTTCAAAGTTATCATGGAGTCAGGTAGAAGATAAACATAGCTCAGTTTAAGAGAATAGCTAGGAAGTAACATGTCATTTATTATTAGAAGCAGGTGTGGCATCTCTTGAAAGCTCAGGGTTTGTTTTGTTTTGTTTTGTTTTTTCTGGGTGTTCAGCGTCAGAGTGCTGACATGTCTAGTTTATAGCGATGAAAATGTTTCATCTCAGCTCACCAACTTTCAGGCTGCTATGGAATTCTTCCAAAGTTTAGTGTGCACTGACAGATTCAATCTACCTCAGAACTAACCTCATTTTAGCCTTATTGTTGTCTGCATCACTAGATTGATGAAATAAAAAAGAGGGAGTCTTCTACAGACCTGCAAATTAAAAATGTCCTTTATCACCTCTGCTCCTGAGTTTTCTTACATAACTGTGTAAAAAAAATTTCAAATACACTGTACTTTAAAAAAATATTTTTTTTAAATATTAAAAATATTTAACTCTTTCAGCCAAGAGTTTCTGCCATCTACTTAAACTTAGGACAATTTTTTTTAAATCATCATTATTTTCATAGATTTTATAAAAAAGAGGAAATACTGCAAAATTACTAGGGCAAACTTGGGAGATAAATGTGACAATACCTTCCCTGCCTCTGTGACTCAAAGATCACATCTGCTAATGGTACATCCCTGTAACAAACTTCATCCCTTACCCATCTGTGTGAAATACAATATCTAGGATGACGTTCAGAAGACAAAAATATTTCTGCTACAAGCACTCTTCAGATATTCAGGCCAACCTATTTGGAACTACAGGGTCTATTGTCCCTTTTGGTTATAACAGCAACAGGCCAAAAAAGCACAACTCATATTCTTGAACTGTGCAGCTGTTATGTAAATCTGATCTTGTTCTGAGGTCTTCAAGTGCTTGGAGGAAAAAAGGGAGAGTTTGGGGGTGAAAAAAGGGACAGAATGCAACCCACCAGTCCACTTATCTCCCCCAACATACATAGATAAGTCTTAAAGAGTGTCAGAGGAATAATTTCTTCTTCTATAAAAGATATGTCTATGCACTGAGGAAAAAATGAGTCACCAAATTTGACTCTTATTGACAGATGTCTATTTATCCTAATATGGCTGCAACTCTTCTTAGCATTGTGTTTGCTTAGACAGCAGACAGTAAATAACATTATAGGCATGATGAGAAAAAGATTACCATATTATTTAAATGTGAGGGCTTGATTTTTAAAAGCAAAAGCAGATTTACAGTAGACTGTAGTCATTAAATGAATGGGCCATATGAAGAAACAGTAATGATAGTTTAAAATCTGCTTGATGTTGCCTTTAAGATTCATGGTTTTACTTTAATAGCAAAACTGCAAAAGAAACAAAAAATTAAAGGACAAATGATGATCTTATTTAACCATAGTGAATCTGTCTGTATCTTTAATAAAATATTCCTTACAGCCAAGAAATTGGATGGAAAAATACAGAAATTTAAAAAAATTATTTTGCCCATCAGCTTATACAAAAAGATATAATTTTCTTCTCTAGATTGATAAATCATTCTGGCTTAACCCCATTCTTTGTCAGGAAATGTTGGGTTACATGAGCGACCTGAGCCTGAGGCTGCAAATACTGCTCAAGTCTGAGTATTCAGAGAAATTAGGAAATTGTGCAGAGCACCCAGTAAAGGAAGGTTTTGGCTGTAGATTTGCTACCTGAAACATTGACTGGTTAGAAAATAATATAATTTGTGGTATATCGCGAGGCCTTGATTTCACTTGACTATATGCATGTGTCCTGCTTCTTAGTAACTCCAGCTCCTACCATTTTTCTTCAAGGGATTTTTATCTTGGCCTGGGGCTAGCTTTGTGTTAACTTTTGTGGAACTCAAATCTGCTTGGGGAAAATCCCTTCTAATTCTGATCTGCCTCAAATCCCTTTTCAGCGATCAGTCAGGCCTACATCCGTCTAGCTATTTAAACACATACCTACCATGTAACAGTCTAACTTCACTGAAATAAGATTCACAGATTTTACTACTTTTGGACTCCAGGTTTTTGGGTCACTTTTGTGGTTGATAGTCTTGGTGTCCTTCTACCATGTCCATTCAAATGTCTGTTGGGCTGAAGATTATAATGTCTATCCCCTTCTGCAGGCCTCTATGAACATTTTGTGTTGTTTTCTTTGGTGGAGCAAAGGAGCTCTTTGTAACAGACAAATTCAGAGAACGTGACTCTGTGATCTATCCCACTTCAGAGTGGTGAGAATATATAAAGTTTTAGTTCATGGTGCATATAGATCAGCCTAACATTCCAGCTCATATGGAGTTCTAAAATAGATAACTTCCAAAGCCCACAGAACCCATATTTTAACTCAAAATCACAAGCAGGAAGAGTCAAAACATAACTAGCAAATATGTCCCAGCATTTCCTGGGCCCGGGTGCTCAATGTTTACACTGCCATGAATTAGACTGGGAATTTAGACATCCCATTTTGTTAAAAGATTATAAACTAAACTAAACTAAACACTGATCTTCTCTTCTAGGGATCAGATAGTTTACCATGCATGTAATGACATTTTACACAAATCTTTACCATCAAAATCAGTTGCGATTCCTTTGTGGGCAAAGCAGTATCCAGAGGCTACAAAGTGGACATTAGCTTCTCTTCCTTGTGTCTATTTGTTACCTTTCTTCAATGGTGTAAAAGCAACATACTGGACAGTATAAGACTATTTTTTTTTGTTTTGTTTTATTGAGGACTGACTTTTGCTTACCTGTCTTTAACTCTGGACATCCATTCTTCTGACATTCTTTCTCATAAGAGCATGGAAAAAAAATACAATTTGGATTAATTTATTAAAGGGTGAGAGATGTCATTTTTGTATTTTTGCTATCTAATCTCTTTCTGTCTTCCTCTTGGGAGGGTTTTAAATAATCCCTTTTACTTGCTTCCTGATTACTACCACTCATTCTGTTTCTAATTTGTAAAAATTCTATGTCATGCATATAGGAAGGCCCTAAAACCACTGTTGATATGCCATTGTCTTTTAAGCACAGCTGTCTTCCCCAGACCTCCAGTTGAACACACAAACTACTGATTTACACTTCACTTTTTCAGGGACACTTTATAGCAAATTGACAAACAAATTTTTTCTGGCATCAGGAGAAGTCCCTCTCAGTACTTTCTCACATACCATTTAATCGCGCTAAGGCATTGTCTCAATGGGGTCAGGGTGCTGTGCAGCATTCAGAATCCTTCCTCTCCCCTGTTAAAAACATCATCCCTATGTCACCAGCCGGTATTTAACATTTTCTTCTCCCCTACTCTCTTCAGTTTTTCACTCTTACTAAAACAATTTCTTAAAACTTCAGGCTTCTTTCTCAGGTTTCCTCTCCTTACAGTCAAGGAGAGGAATGTTTTGTTGTTCAGTTGTCTCCCTGGAGAACTCAGACTTGAAAAAATGTTGTAGTAGAAGTAAAAGTTGATTTGTTCAGATGGGCTTCCATGAGAATAAATGATCATCAAGAGTTAAAGCCACTTTCCTGACAGGCCTCAGTTACTTTCTCTGAGAATTGCTGTGTAAAGTAAGGCAAGAGAAAAGACAGATAAGCTCTTGCATATGTTGATAACAGAGAAATTACAGTATCAAGTGTGTTGCATGTTATGTACATATATACACACATTTCCTCAGTTGTCACAATATTCAAAATTCATTGATATTGTGTATAAAACACTGGGCAGTACTAACAGGTATTTTTAAGGAAAATGTTAACTGGATTTTCATTTTAAAATTAAAGTTATCCACCAGGAAGGGAAATCACTATGAAAATACAAAGGTTGCAAATAACTTAAATATGCACAGGTATGATTTCAATTCGCAGTAAGAGTCCCTTATATTACATTGGCTGTGTGTAAGAGTTTAAGTATCTACATTTTACCCAGAAGATTCCTCAACACTGCATGAAAATATCCTAAATTATAGCATAAATTAAATTTGAGCATTGTATTTTATTAATCAGAAGCCAGGATTCCATGAAAAGCTAATTGTTAGAAGGAAAAAACTTCTCTCTAAAAGAGGAGAGAGATTCTGCTCAACTTAAATCAATAGTCTTCCATTGACTTCAGATGAAGTAGAACATAAACATTTTGTACAGCAGATTATCTTCTGGATCAACCCTAACATGCTTCTTCTGGCCTTGGCATTCATTAAATTAGTGGCAAGAATGCAATTGGGAGGAAATGCAAAGCCTCAGTGGATGGTCAGTCCAGCAGGAAGTTGTGAAAACAAAATGGTCCCTATCTCAAAGCAGTAGGGTATTGGTCTGTAAATCTATCTCCCACCAGGTGATGTTCTATCATTATGAATATTGCCTGCTGTGTCTTCTGCCCTTTGCATTAACGCTCCCAGGCACTCAGTCACATAGCCCTTCTTTTGGTCAGTTTTAAAGTTAATTAACAGGCTCTTTTCTTTAATACCTTATTTAATAAAACCATTGGAATCCCCACCATGCACTCCACAAAATATTAATCTTTATACATAATCATGTTTGCATTATTGGCATAGGTTAATCTGTTGCCTTGGTGATGGAGAATCTGGGGGTTTTTGCCATAAATGTTACTCTGTTCTCCAGAGAAACAAGGTAAATGCATGATGATTAGCCTCCTAATTCTACCTTTCATCTGAACTTACATCTTTAAAATAGATGTAATTAGAAGTGAAGTTCAAAGTATTCTGAATAGATCTACTTTTCCCTATCTGTCCATAAATATAACACAATATTAGGAGGGGAACAACAGTATTAATTCAAATTAATTCTGTCAATTAATATCTGCTGCTTTATATGACATCTCACAGCTTCAGTAAGAGACCACTACTGAGTAACTCCAGGCCCCTGCTCATCTTCTTGCATTTACAGCAAATATAGCAAATCTACAAACCCAGAAGTCACAGGCAGAGTTATTTTTAGCACAGTCACATGACTGGAATTTGGAGAAAAAAACAGCACAGTTATTGAACATCCCTACTGTGAATGCATAATGGGAGAGAACCATATAACAGTTCTTTTTCTGTGACACACTTGAGAAAATGTAGAAACCAAATATCATGGTATGACCAAGCTTGAGAAAGATTTTCTGTAAAAATCCTGAAATTTCCTGCCTTTTTTTTTTAATTGCAGTGATGGCAATAGCAAACAAGATAGCATGCTCTAGGAAAAATTACATCTATTTTTAATTACAACCATCAAATTTTAAATTGCCACTATTATTTTAACACAATTTTTTAGATCACAGAAAAATAAAAACCAGTAACACTAGACTGTCAGTATCTCGGGAAATAGATTAATATTACAGTAGACTGATCACTGTAATAAAAGTGATAAGAGGCGACAACTCCACACTCCTTAGCTTTGTAGACAGAGTGAGGTCAACACATATCAGACTCTATAAATCAAAACTACAAGCATTTCCTACATTTTGTGCTATATTTTTTCTTTATCACTTGAAACATTAAAAGCATAGCTATTAGTTTTATTAATCCAACCCTAGGTTTGAATTCTTAAATAAGGACATAGACAGTATTTTTCCTAATAGGTAACTCTTCAACCCTACAAAAATCAGCAATGCATAAGGAAACTAACTTCCATTTTTGTCCTCAATTGTCTATAGATTCATACTGCAATGGTGATAAGCCGACAGTTACATGAGGAAAAGGGAGGAACCAACATGGACAAATGCTGGAATCAATTGTTCTACCCAGACTGGGTCTATGCCTATCAAGTTTCAGGTGCACAAATTCTTACTGCATCCTAAAGAATCAGAATCTCTAAAGATCTTATTTTTCTCTTTTCTCTACTCCCTTGGTTGTTCTAAGCAGAAAAGATGGAAGTAATTCAAACTGGCAGCTGCAGGCAAATTTGGTGGTAAAAATAGTAACTAAGAACTTGGAGCTGTTTCATAAGATCTTTTCTCCAGCAGTGAGGTTTCTGTTTAGACAGAGAAAACTTGAGCTTTTAATTCTCTAGATGAGTTCTGGAAGCAATAATTCTAAAAAGTGAGGTTGTTCATAAAACCTATATGATGTCCAGCACTATTACAAAATCTCTTTGTCTTGAAACGCTCAATACTTAGAAAACTTGCAAATTAATCCATTGGTTCCTAGTCCAAAGGCTGGCCGTTGGTTTTTTCTTGCCCAGGAGGAGAAATTACAACAGATGAGAGCTCAGTAGAGGAGCCAGTTGAAACATCCTAAGAAATTACTCATATTAATAAAAAAAAGTTCTGTTTTGTGAACATTTTTTCATCATTTCTCATTAACAGAAGGGGCAGAACATTAGGGATCATTCCATGACGCTCATCTAATTCTGCAAAAAACCATCAAAGCCCAGAAGACATTCACTGCAATGGGTCTTTTGTACATGCCACTCTAAGCACCAGACACAGGCAACCCAAATATGAGTGCACTCCTGGGTGCACAGCTAAGTGCCCCAAGGAGAGGGGAAATGCAGAGCATTAGCCCATACAGAAACAGACACAGAGATGCTGGCATCACACACAGAGCAGCTTGCAAACAGCTGGATGCCTTTCTTCTATGTGGTACAGACACAGTTTTATGTAGGGGGCAGAGGAAATAAGAAGCCTTTGTGCCCTACTTTCCCTTCATTACATAAGGACCAGGCTGAGCAACAGGGCTCTCCACCAGCTCCCTGACTCCTGCCCTTAAGGCAGAGGCAACAGTAGAATAAAAGGGAGACTCTTTCAAGAGAAATAGAGGGACAAATTTACCCCAGCTTTTCTCTGCTATGTAGCAGCAACACATCACAGTGGTGGCTATGTTTCTTGAAGGAGTTGAAAGCCAACTTCCTGCTTTGTCATTTAGGGAAGCATGGCCCTCCGTCAGCTCCGGGTTCAGCACAGCTGAACTTCTTGCAGGGGTTAAGGTACAAAGGAAATTTTTAGGTTCCTCCAGCACACTGAAATCTTCAGGTGATGCAGTGAGCACATTGAGAAGCAGAATACTGAAGTCTGATACTGCAGGGGAGAGCATCTATACTGCTGTGCTGTTCTCTTTTTTAAGACAATGCCCAAGGAAATCACTCTCACCTTTAATTATTACACACCTACATTTGATGATCATAAAGACATTATTACACTGATATAACTGTTCCTGGGGAAGTGCAATAACATGTTGTTATTGCAAAACTTGTTTTTATTGTTAACAAAACTTGTTTTCGGTTCTGAAGAATAAAAAGCTAAAGCAAATTATGTATCTGTCACAAAATGGATAAATAAAATAAATCTCAGTGGACAGAGCAGATGAAAACAGTGTAGATGGGCATAACCAATTCAGAGATCTGAGGAACCCTGAATACTGTCTGTTGAAAAAAAGCTAAGGGTAAAGGAAAAAAAAGGTGTGTATATCTAATGGAATTCATTCAGCCACAGGGTTTGGGGATTCACTATAGAAAAGGCATGTAATTAATTATGTTTCAATCCTTGACTTATTTTATGTCCGTAAACCACAAATGCTTATGTTCATGCTAAGACTAGAAATAAAAGTAATGCCATGTCAGCTTTCAGGGGGAAAAACACTACATTTTTGTTGCTTCCATGAAAGTGTGTTTAATTACCTCCTAAGGCTAAAGCCAATAGGAAGGTTAAACTGTGATCCATTCTTATTATTCTTCACTCAGACTTCTCTGAACTAGAAATGCGTAAGGTTTACACCAAATGAACATAACTATCACCAGGCTCGTTTGCAATTCAGGATTTCTTCCAGTACTGCCTTGAGATTTGCCTGGTGCAGAAGTC